ACAGAGTGGTTAGATTAAAATACATTTAATTAACTTATCAATAGAGACTCTTCTTGCTAAATCTTCCCCATTTTCATCACTGCTTACTCCTCCACTGGCTTGCTGCTGTGGATTTACAACTATCTGCACAATTTCTGAGTCGGTATAATGATGAAATTTGAAATTAAGCTAGCCAAAATTAGTGCCAGATTACTGATGGAACCACCAGATAACTGATTGTCAGATTAGTGATGGCCGACCTGAAGTCTATGACTAGATCTTAAATAACATTTAAGCATTAGGATTAGTTTACCCAAAATGTATTGCATAATTAGTGGCATTTTTTGTGCCTGCCACTGTTTTATTACATGCAAACTACATTATTTAATAAAAAGTGTGCGAGCAAGTAGGTCTACTGAAGTACCTTTCTTTAAGTTCTTATATTCTCTGTGAATAACCAGTACTGAGAAAATTAAGGGTTTGCATTGCAAAAATTTAAGAATGTATATATTGGTTAGAAATTTTTTTTTAGAATGTTATAAGATAGATACAGTGGAACCTCAAAAATCGAACTGCTCCCAACACGACGAATTATGTAAGTGTATTTTTGTAAGTGCTTTTATAAGTGTATTTTTGAGTCTCTGAAATGGACTAATCTAATTTACATTATTCCTGATGGGAATAAATTCATTCGATAAAGGCACTCGAACAGCCTTCTGGACTGAAGAAAGTTCGATATTTGAGGTTCCACTGTATATAAATAAGTTATTCAGTAGGTTATGATGGTGTGAAACGCATGGAAGAAGCTATCAGAAATGTTAAGACAAATGTACAGAATACTAGATTTTTAAGACTTTATGCATAATTTTATAGAGTAGTACATATTTGGTACTATATTGGAACTAAGGAACTGCACATTATAATAGAATAGATCACTTTGTATAAGAATGGGTTTTAAGCAAATGAAGTGTATAAGACTATATTTTTGTTACATTATTTATCTCTGTATATGTGCAGACTTAACTAGCAGCAAATATTTATTGTCAGCGCATGGACTTGAGTGGAGGAACTTCAGGACCTCGTGACCATGCTTCTGTTAATATTTATTCTGTGCCACCATCTGACCGCAAAAAAATAAAACCCAAAAAGAAACTAAAGGCTACACGAGCTATACAAGAGGTAAGTTAGCTATATGCAACATTTCTTTATTTATATCTTACACATTACTGTACTTTTTAAAAGTAATTATCAAGTCCACTGTCTCTGATATTATTAAAATCAAGAGAGTAGTTTGTCCTGAAATCCATTAATAAAGATTTTTTCCTAAAGTTTGTTTACAAGAATGTTTAAAATTATGTCTTCCAAAATCTCTGATACAAGCATGTATATGTAGTTCATGATCAGCATTTATGATTATGAAGGTCAACACAGCAGTGGAGAGAAGTCTCAGGCTGATCAGCTGATACATCATTGTTAGTTGCATGTTCCAGTTCCAGCTGTCCAAGATTGAATGAGTGTTGATGGGCCAGGTGTTATAAGAAGCTGCACAAAAGGCATTGAAAACCACCTGAACTACATACAGTAGGGCCCCGCTATGTGGCGTTTCTCTTTACGATGTTCTTCTAATATGGACATTTCAAATTATGACCAAAATTCGCTATATAGCTCCCCCCACCTGTCTTTCTAATACGGTCACCGCCCCCACCTGGTTTGTTTACATTCCCTGTGAACTCCATGAGCACCATGTCTCTCCATTATGTCTGGAACTTTCCAAAATTTCAAGTATTTTAATTTTATATATACTCTGATAATTATGCAATGGAACTTCAGCTTACGAGTTTAATCCGTTCCGAGACCTTGCTCGTATCCCTATCTGCTTGTGTGCTAAGTCAATTTTTCTCATTTAATTTAACTGAAATGGCATTAATCTGTTCCAGCGGAATTCCTGCTCTCAGGAGGCAGGACAAAATACTTGAATATGACACTAATATCAGCTCTATGGCTTATTTATCTATCAAAATTCATCTATTATGACATAATAAACAATATAAATAACATAGAAACCTGATATATTCTCTAGAATGAATAAAATGTGTCATTATGTAACAAGTGAGAATCCTTCCACCATGAGGTGCACTGCCATCCCCTGACACTCTCAACACCACCGTCCCAGCTTTCATAAATAGTGGACCCCCGCATAACGATCACCTCCGAATGCGACCAATTATGTAAGTGTATTTATGTAAGTGCGTTTGTACGTGTATGTTTGGGGGTCTGAAATGGACTAATCTACTTCACAATATTCCTTATGGGAACAAATTCGGTCAGTACTGGCACCTGAACATACTTCTGGAATGAAAAAATATCGTTAACCGGGGGTCCACTGTACATGTTCAGTTCCACTGCTCTTCTACAAGCTAGCTGTGTTTGTGAATTGTTTTGACTTACTGAATGACTTAATGACTTTGACTGACTGACTGACTTACTGACTTGACTAACTGACATTACTGAATATTGTAATGGGGAAGCAATAAACCCGTAGGATTATACAGCTCCTGTGGGGGGAGGGGATGGAAGGTATTTAGGCTTAATTTAGGGAACTGGAGCACAGATACAATTCCCTAGATCAAGAGCCCCTCACCAGCCTCAAGGAACCTCCCTTGAGGGGGAAGCTCACATCCTGAGTTTTTGCTCGTATCCGGAAACAAAAAATCGACCGAGCGACTGCTCATATCCAGAAAAACTCGTATGGTGGGGCACTCATAAGCTGAGGTTCCGCTGTACTTATGTGTACCTGTACCTAAATAATCTTGCACACTGTGCTGGCATGCAGGTACACATTAATAATAATAATAATAATAATAATAATACGTAATAATATCTTTATTTACTACAAGTACATGTACATGGTATACAGGCCAAGTTGACATCAGTGACATACTACTATATAGAAAGCTGCTTGTTATACAGAGCATTTCAGGCAACTTAGGTCAGTTTTGTCCCAGGATGCAACCCACACCCATTTTACTGATGGGTGAACAGGGACAGCAGGTGGCTTATGGAAACACGTCCCTAATGTTTTCCAGCCGTACCAGAGGAGATTCGATCTCCGGACCCCAGTGTGTGAACTGAGTGCACTAGCGATCGAGCTATGGGCCACCCACAAAATTACTAAGAGTGTCTTTTTAGTCTTCACGCAATGCGTATTAATAATAATACGCAATAATAATCACTCTAGTTCAACACCAAAGAAAATACAGTGGACCCCGGTATTCGATATTAATCCTTTCCTGAGAGCTCATCGAATACCGAAAATATCGAAAACCGAATCAATTTTCCTCGTAAGAAATAATGGAAATCAAATTAATCCGTGCAAGACACCCAAAAGTATGAAAAAAAAAATTTTACTTCATGAAATATTAAGTTTAATGCAATAGAATAATTACAATAATAATAAAATAATTGACACTTACCTTTAATGAAGATCTGGTGATGATTGATGGGATGGGAGGAGGGGAGAGGTGTTAGTGTTTAGAAGGGGAATCCCCTTCCATTAGGACTTGAGGTAGCAAGTCCTTTTCCGGGGTTACTTCCCCTCTTCTTTTAATGCCACTAGGACCAGCTTGAGAGTCACTGGATTTCTGTCGCACAACATATCTGTCCATAGTGGCCTGTACCTCCCGTTCCTTTATGACATTCCTAAAGTGTTTCACAACAGTGTCAGTGTAATAGTCACCAGCACGGCTTGCAATAGCTGTGTTAGGGTGATTGTCATCAAAAAAGGTTTGCACTTTAAGCCACATTGCACACATTTCCTTAATCTTTGAAGTAGGCAACTTCTTCATTTTCTCTATCCCCTCCTCCAAAGCAGTTTCCTCAAGTGTGGCCTCTTACTGTTGAAGATGATCTATCAGCTCATCAGTGGTTAGTTCTTAACTGTCCTCCTCCACCAACTCTTCCACATCCTCCCCACTAATCTCCAACCCCAAGGACTTCCCCAATGCCACAATGGATTCCTCAACTGGCATAAGATTCTCAGGGTTAGCCTCAAATCCTTCAAAATCCCTTTTGTCTACACATTCTGGCCGCAGAGTTCAAGGTCCTCTTAGTCACTCCCTCCCAAGCCGTACCTATAAGATTTATACAATTGAGGATATTAAAGTGATCCTTCCAAAACTCTTTTAGAGTCAGTTGAGTTTCTGTGGTCGCTATAAAGCACTTTTGAAACATAGCTTTTGTGTACAGTTTCTTGAAGTTGGAAATGACCTGCTGGTCCATGGGCTGCAGGAGAGGAGTGGTATTAGGAGGCAAAAACTTGACCTTAATGAAGCTCATGTCCCCAGAAAGTCGCTCTGCCAAGTCTGTAGGATGACTAGGGGCATTGTCTAATACCAGGAGGCACTTAAGGTCTAATTTCTTTTCAGTTAGGTAATTTTTCACAGTGGGGGCAAATGCTTGGTGTAACCAGTCATAGAAAAAGTCCCTAGTGACCCATGCCTTACTGTTTGCCCTCCAGAGCACAGACAAATTAGCCTTGAGGACATTGTTTTTCCTGAACACACTGGGAGTTTCAGAGTGATACACCAATAAAGGCTTCACTTTGCAATCACCACTAGCATTGGCACACATCAACAGAGTAAGCCTGTCTTTCATAGGCTTATGTCCTGGGAGTGCCTTTTCCTCTTGAGTAATGTAGGTCCTGCTTGGCATTTTCTTCCAAAACAGGCCTGTTTCGTCGCAATTAAACATTTGTTCAGGTTTCAAGTCTTTACTGTCTATGTAATCCTTGAATTCCTTCACATATTTTTCAGCTGCTTTTTGATCCGAACTGGCAGCCTCACCATGCCTAATCACACTTTGTATGCCACTACGATTCTTAAATCTTTCAAACCAACCTTTGCTGGCCTTAAATTCACTCACATCACCACTAGTTGCAGGCAATTTCTTTACCAAATCGTCATGCAACTGCCTAGCCTTTTCACAAATGATCGCTTGAGAGATGCTATCTCCTGCTATCTGTTTTTCATTTATCCACACCAATAACAATCTCTCAACATTTTCTAACACTTGCGGTCGCTGTTTCGTAATCACAGTTGCACCTTTTGCAAGAACAGCTTCCTTGATTGCCGTTTTCCTGGTCACTATAGTAGAGATGGTTGATTGGGGTTTATTATACAACCTAACCAGCTCCGACACACGCACTCCACTTTTGTACTTTGCAATTATCTCTTTCTTCATTTCATAAGTCATTAGTGACTTTTTTCTCGAAGGGTTCACACTAGAAGCTTTCTTGGGGCCCATGGTGACTTATTTTGCAGAAACAAGCACTAAACACAGTGATAATATGGATAATATGGAATGTACCAAATGTATCCTTAGATGCGCGCACACTGACTGGCTTGTAAACACTGGCACACAAGGGGCAGTTCAGGCCACACGTGGACACATCTCATACGAATCGTATCGAATACCGGGTTTTCAATTGAATACCGAGGAAAATTTTTTGCGATATAATGCATCGAATACCGGATTTATCGAATACTGATGCCATCGAATACCGGGGGATCCACTGTAATATTCTTTTATGATAAAACGATAATTTTACTAGTAAAGATTATAAAGTATTGTGTGTGTTTTTATACTCCAGACAATATTGCATATTGCAGGTTTGGTATTGGGCGAGTTTATTAATTATACTATAGGCCTATTAGTTTAGCTTCCCCTAGAAGCTTCATTGCCAAATTTGTAATATTGTAATAAGGGCATTCCACTTTGCGGCGGTAGCCTGGAACCTAACCTGAGGGTGGCAGGGGATGACGGTAGGTCTCCCTCAGCCACCCACACCACAATCCCAGCCTTCACTTCGGTTCATAGCGTGTAGGACGACGATACTCAGGAAGCTCTCTGTGTTTATTTACATAGTACATATTTTCTTATTTTCATTGCCATTTGTTAAATCTGCCAAGCAATCATGGCACCCAGTAAGCATACAAGTGTTCCTGCAAGTAACAAGAAAAGGTTTAACCCTTTCAGGGTCATGAGGCCCTCTCCAAAACTTGTTCTCAGGGTCAAAAATTTTTCGGAAAAAAAAAATTATTTTTTTCTTATGAAATGAAAGAGAATCTTTTTCCGATCATAATGACACCAAAAGTATGAAATTTGATGGAAAACTTATGGAATTATGCTCTTGTGAAGTTAGCAGTCTCGACGATGTTTACACATCGGCAATTTTGCCCACTTTGAGCCCTATTCTTGGCCAATTCCAGTATACTAGTCGACAAAAATCATAACAAATTTGCTAGAACTCCATTTTTTCTATGGATTGAGCACAAAAAACCACCCAGTTACTGATTTCAACTATCCAATAAAGCGGTCAGAAACTGGCAATTTTGCCAATTTCACACAAATTTCAAAAGATGCCAATTTCCAAATAGGGTCCAGAATAAACAAGACAGACATTCCTGGCACTAAAATAACATTTCCTCTGTTCATTAGTCATGTCCCCAGGCCCCTCTTACATTTCTTTTGCTTTCCAGTTTGAATTTTTATTCTCACAAAAAATAAAGGATTTACTGTTATGCAGACTACTGCATTAGTGTAGAAATGGTATAAATAATATCAGTTCACTTGTGAAAGAATATTAGACTCACCAGTTGTGTATTGGATGCATGACATCCAATACACATCAAAAATCAAACATTTCTGCTATTTTGAGCTCAATTTTAAGGTACTTTTCATAGTGAAACCAATCAAAATCATCTCAATTTCTATAATATGTCTTCCATTCTATAAAATGAGACCAGGAAAACTAGAATACAATCATAAATACCATACGAAAGTACAGTGCAAAGTCGCTGTTTTAAATCAAAAACATGATCAAAGTTTTTTTTTTCTCATTACACACTGTGTGCTGCAGGATTTTTTTTATACTGTGCACACTGACCACATAGACTCATTCTTTCATATGTAGGCCTACCAGCTTTCTCTCACTAGATTTGAAGGCGCTAGAATTTACACGTAGTAGTACGTCAATAACCCTGGTGTGTAAGACATACTAGTACGTAGGAAACCCTGAAAGGGTTAAGAATTCAAGTCTAGGAATTACAAAGAAAATTGAGATACTAAAGCTTAAGAGTGGCCTTATGAAGCGTCATTTCGTACAATTCAGAAGAACGTACAATTAAAAAGAACTAGCTGGCTTGACTGGCTGACTTGACTGTTTTACTGACTTGACTTATTGACCGACTTGACTTGACTTACTGACTGACTTGATCGATTTACTAACTGACGTGACTCAATGGCTTAACCCACAGACCATCCCACCCACTGGGCGACCGCACGCTCAAAATTTTTTCCCCTCCCGCAACCGTGTTACCCTGCTCACACTCCAACAGCTCATCAGGTCTCAAAAACCATTTGTCTCCATTCACTCCTATCTAACATGCTCACACATGCTCGCTGGAAGTCCAAGCCCCTCGAAGATGACCTTTACCCTGCCTTCCTTCCCCTACAGTTGTATGTTCTCCAAGTCATTCTACTTTGATCCATTCTCTCTAAATGACTAAACCACCTCAACAACCCCTCTTCAGCCCTTTGACTAATACTTTTAGTAGCTCCACACCTCCTAATTTTCACACTCCGAATTCTCTGCATAATATTTACACCACACATTGCCCTTAGACAGGACATCTCCACTGCCTTTAGCCACCTCCTCGCTACAGCATTAGCAACCCAAGCTTCACACCCATATAAGAGTGTTGGTACCACTATACTTTCATACATTCCCTTCTTTGCCTCCATGGATAACATTTTTTGCCTCCATAGATACCTCAATGCACCACACACCTTTTTTTCCTTCATCAGTTCTATAATTAATCTCATCCTTCATAAACCCATCTGCTGACAAGTCATCTCCCAAATATCTGAAAACACTCGCTTCTTCCATACTCCCTCTCTCCAATGTGATATCCAATTTTTCTTTATCTAAATCATTTGATACCCTCATCACCTTGCTCATATATGTTCACTTTCAACATTCTACCTTTACACACCCTCCCAAACTCGTCCACTCACCTTTGCAACTTTTCTTTAGAATCTCCAATAAGCACAGTATCATCAGTAAAAAGTACATGTGTCAACTCCCATTTTACATTTGATTCCCTGTAATTTAATCCCACCCCTCTCCCCAACACCTAACATTTACTTCTTTTACAATCCCATCTATAAATATATTAAACAACCATGGTGACATTACACATACCTGTCTAAGACCTACTTTTACGGGGAAATAATCTCCCTCTCTCCTACACACCCTAACCTGAGCCTCACTATCTTCATAAAAACTCTTTACAGCATTTAGTAACTTACTACCTATTCCATATACTTGCAACATCTGCCACATTGCTCCCCTATCCACTATCATATGCCTTTCCTAAATCCATAAATGCAATGAAAACTTCCCTATCTTTATCTAAAATACTGTTCACCTATATACTTCAGTGTAAACACTTGATCTACACATCCTCTACCCACTCTAAAGCCTCCTTGCTAATCTGATATAAATTATTTCAAAGTTGCTGTGTTTTACTTTAACTGTAATTTGAGAATTAAATGGTGGGTAAGAATCAGGAAATGATTTGAGAGAAAAGACAAAACTTTGAGTATTGCCTTGCTATAACATGTCTTTCCCCCCATCAAGGGAAGAAGGGGGGGATACTCTGATGGTGATGTTGATGAAGGGCTCCTGATTCAAGGAATTGGAGCTACTTTCCTCTTCCTTGGATATTATCCAATTACCTCCCATTTTCTGAGTACTGTATGACCTATGGATTTAGTGCTTTCCCCATAAATTTAATAATGTTAATAGTGTATATAAGAAATACCAAAATATCACTTTTTTTTTTTCAGAGTTACTTTGAGGCAGTGAGTGTTCAAGATATTGCTGCCACAGCTACACTCCATGAGCCTCAGGCCATTACAGATGCAGGTGCTGGGTACATGTCACGCACAATGTGCTTGCTGGACACTGGACCCCTCAAGGGTCGTTTATTACTAGCAGCTTGGGACCATGGTATTACACAAGTGGCAGATAATGTAGCTAGCATGCTTCAAGAAGCAACTCAGGTATGATCATTACATTTGAATGAAATTTTTAATAATAATCTATCTCTAGTGAAACTAAGATACTGTATCAGACAGTTTGGGTATGAGGTATATGCCAAACTAGCCTTTTTGGCAGTAAAATCTAAAATTTAATTTTCATGCTTCCTGATTGGCTAATTTATTGTGCATCCTGCATTTTAGCATATGAGAAATGTTATGAAAAGACAAGGATTACACAAGTCACAAGGGTCTTGGTCGACCCCATTGGGATTACTTTTATTTTTTGCTGCCTGATTGGCTAGTTTATTGTGCACTTCTTGTTCTGTGAACATTAGTTCAAAAAAACAGGATTACAGAGGCTGTAATGGGTTTTTGTCAGCTCCCAATAGGCTTTCTTTGTTTGACAGTAGTATTTTGTTACATGTAAGCTACACATATACTATACGGAGAAATAAAAATTTTGATTTGATTTGCTTGTTAAAATTTCATCACATAGCTAATCTATCCAGTGCAGTATTCTCCTGGAGGCTAATGCAAGAAGGACTCTACAAAGGTTTAATTTTAATCCCATTTTTCATAATTTGTATACATATCTGTGTTTGACTCCATACACCAGTATGTTATACACCTACCATCCGACTTACGACCTGCTCGACTTACGACCACTCGACTTACGACCGTGTTTTTTATGCCAAATTTCTGGGAAATAAACAACTATTTGTGTTGTACAGAGTGTTTATCCTAAACCTTACAGTATAAAATACAGTACTAACAACATAAAAAGTAAAGTAAAACATGAAATACCAAAATAAAACAATAAAATAAAGTCATTTCAAAAATGTTTTGTTGATATTCAGTAGTAAAGTTCGACTTACGACCATTTCGACTTACGACCGGTTTCTCGGAACCGAACTCGGTTGTAAGTTGGATGGTAGATGTATTTAGATCCGAGGCTGTTGGAGTGTGATGAAGGTAACATTTATGAAAGGATTCAGACCAATTAGTCGGACTTTAGTCGTGGAGGTAAAAATACAATGCCATCACTCATAAGAATGAGTGAGGATGTTGTGGTTTATAGAATCATCTGAACTGTGATATCATTGCCCTTTTGGCAAGGCAATGATTGAATGAGTAACAGTGAAAATGTTTTCTTCTTTGTTGGGTCCCGTTACCTTGGTGGAAGATGGCTAATGTGTCGAAAAATGAGATCAGTTTGTAAGGTGGAAGCCGAGCTATTAATTCTAATTCTTCTCTCTATTATAACACCATCATGCTGGTTTACAATCACAGCACTCCCTGCCCTCCCATTGTCAGAGTTAAAAGATCCATGAACATAAATAGTCTGTGATGTTATTTTTAGTCTGCAGATCATGTATGTGCTCAAGGTCAATGAATATGGAAGGCTATCAAATATGAGGATTTTACATGATTAATTTTGTAGGAGATTCTTTCTTAGAATTTGAAGGCAATGCAAAGTACTAGTGATTATTAATTATTTTCTTCACATTATAAATTGGTAGCATGTTTTCCCATGCTTTGTGGATGGAGAATCAAGCCTAAACCAGTCCCTGTGATGAACGACCCACATGATTTAGTGTTTTACTATAGCAAACGTTTTTTTTTTTTTCAACAAACTGGCCGTGTCCCACCAAGGCAGGGTGGCCCAAAAAGAAAAACAAAAGTTCCTCTTTTTAAATTTAGTAATTTATACAGGAGAAGGGGTTACTAGGCCCTTGCTCCCACCATTTTAGTCGCCTCTTGCAACACGCATGGCTTACTGAGGAAGAATTCTGTTCCACTTCCCCATGGAGATAAGAGGAAATAAACAAGAACAAGAACTAGAAAGAAAATAGAAGAAAACCCAGAGGGGTGTGTATATACGTATATGCTTGTACATATATGTGTAGTGTGACCTAAGTGTAAGTAGAAGTAGCAAGACGTACCTGAAATCTTGCATGTTTATGAGACAGAAAAAAGACACCAGCAATCCTACCACCATGTAAAACAGTTACAGGTATTGGTTTTACACTCGCTTGGCAGGACGGTAGTACCTCCCTGGGCGGTTGCTGTCTACCAACCTACTACCTACAAGTAAACAAATATTATAAATAAATATTATAATTTTATTTCACAAAAATTGCTGATTACAGAAAGGTTTTATTAAAAATATAGTTTATCTTATCATGTAAAGCAGTTACATCAAACAGTGGACTATTAACATTAAAGGTTTTGCTGCCAATTTAATTAGACTGTCCATCATAGGTCTGACTAGAGACTAGGCTTCTGTAATTGTGGTGCTCAGGAGAATCAATATTAGACACAGCTAAAACATTTATGGCACATTATGTGGTTCATGATAGATTTTCATTTCAGTATCCAGTAATGCATTGCTCATTGTATATATAATTAAATTTCCCATGTGTAAAAAAGTATTTAATAGAAGAACTTTTTTAGTACCCAGGTCTTATCATGAGAAAACATTTTTTACATATTTATCTTGTTAAAATTATCATATTTTCTATTTGTAATCATGCATTAAACATCAGACAAACTAAAGATCTTTCACCGTCTGATAACCAAAATACGTTCTCTATTAATTGCTGCTTTTGTGTATTATTAGCATAGTAGCAGCTGCATAGTTGTCCCTGCAGATTCATGAAAGTTCACATATGTTGAGCTCCCTCAGAACTAGAAACTACATATAATACACAATTAAGTCTGCATAGCAAATATTTCAGATTTAGGATAATTTTGTGTTTCAAACACCATATCACTGAAATATTAAGAAAAGAGAAGAACACCAAAATGGGTGTGCATATTCATGCATGTGTAGTGTGACCTAAGTTTAATTAGAAGTAGTAAGATATACCTGTTATCCCACATGTTTATGAGACAGAAAAAAGACCCCAGCAATCCTACCATCATGTAAAACAAATTTACAGAATTATTTAGGTTATTTCAGTTAGTTTTTGCTTATTAGTTGAGTGTAGAGGTAAAACTTGCATTATAGAAGAAAATAAGATAATACTAATTATAGATATCTTTTAGCAATGTTTAAAGAACGTATTGATGGCAGTGATAAGCAGACGTCGAGGATATCGTATCAGAGAAGGGTGCTTTGTTCATTCATTAGGCACCACTCCTCCAAACCCTTGGTTGAGAAACACAGCTTCTCTCAATGACTGGGCATCAGAGAGGTAAATACAGTATTGTACTATATTTCTTAGCTTCCCACTGCTATAAAAAAAATAGCAATACAGTAAACCCTCAGTTAAATGTATGACAATTTAATGGGCTTCAGTAATACAGCTTCTCCTCACTTAACGACGGAGTTCTGTTCCTAAGACCATTGGTAAATGAATTTGTCGCTAAGGGGGAGCAACATAAGGTAGTGGTCTGTGTCTACCATCTTTTATTGT